GGTTTGGTGAAAATAGTTGCGAGAACAATTATCTTATTAAAAATTGATTCAGATGCTAAAAAAGTTTCACAATTAAATATATTGTAATTTGTAACCTTGTAATTATCTTAACTCATATTTCGTCTTCCACATGAACAATCTCCCACATTAATCACATTAAAGTGTCATGAACAATTCACTGTCATTATATTGGCGAGGAAGAATGTATGAACTTTCATAATCTTATGGCCCTCTGGATCAAGGAGCAGAGTGGAATCTGAAAGTTGGCGTGATATCACGATTTTTTTTTATTTTAGCCGTAATTGGAATGAGCCCCAAAATCAAATTGATATATTTAATTGTGAAACTTTTTTTAGCATCTGAATCAATTTTTAATAAGATAATGACAATATTTTTTTCCTTCTAACGTTGTCTCTAGTTTTAATAACAGTTTCCATTAGAATTATCCACAATTTAACCTAAAATGGAATTATTAAAGAGATAGCAATTAACAACTATGGCAGGAAAAGGAAAAAGCCCTAACATTATTTATAATCTAAACAGAAAAAAAAAAGAGAAGGCAAGCTTAGAAAGTTTTAAACTCTTTTTGCAACTTTGAAGAATGACGACAATGATGAATCTTCCAGAGGAATTGGTAAGGGAGATACTCTCTAGAGTTCCATTGACATCTTTGGGGAAACTGCGATGTACTTGTAGAACATGGAACGCTTTATCGAAAACTCAGGTTTTTGGTAACAAAGCAGCAAAGAATCAGTTTCTAGGGTTCACGGTGATCAATAATAGGGTTTGTTCCTTGAGACTTGATCTCCAAGGAATTCTTAATGAAGGAGACTTGGTTCATCAATCTACAAAGAAAATAGGCAAATTTGATCAAACCATTATTGATGAAGTTATTCACTGTGATGGCTTATTGTTATGCGTCCTTAAAAACAATAACCTGGTGGTGTGGAACCCGTATCTGCGGCAAACCAGATGTATTCCAACGAGAAGTGAATTTGGATTATCTGACGTGTTTGGTTTCGGATACGACAACAAGAACCGAAACCACAAAATCATAAGGGTTTTTCTTGGTAATCATAACAAATTTTTATGTTTCACATTGTACGATTTTAAGTCTAATTCATGGAGCGTCGTTGTTGATTACGAACAAGACTTTGATCTACGTTTTTACAAAAGTGGCGTGTCTCTGAAGGGGAACACTTACTTTGTTGGTCATTATAACAGAGCAGACGTTTTACTCTGTTTCGATTTTACCACAGAGAGATTTCGTCCGCCTCTGCATGTTCATAAAGATGCAGAATACATGGTTCTATCTTGTATTAGAGAAGAGAAGCTCGCTTTGTTGTATAAACATGGAGACACAATGGAGATTCTGATTACGACTAAGATTGAGCAAGATGCGGTATCTTGGAGCCAGTTTTTGAAAGTGGAGATAACACCGCTCAATGGTTTTCCAGATGAGTTTTATTATGACGGTGCAACTGAGGGCTTCTTCATTAATGAGGAGAAAAAAGTTGCTTTGGTTTGTTGTGTATGCGAAGATAAACCAGCCAAGGGCACACATTACTCTCAAACCGCTCACGTCATTGGACAAGACGGATACCTGAAATATGTGAGTATTGTAGAAGATCCAGAGCGTGGACTTGATGTACCTCTTGTGTTCTCTTCTTATGTTCCAAGTTTAGTGCAACTAGGAATCAGTCAACGGTGTAAGAGGAAACACAGAGATTGCTAAACTATTCTTTATCAGAAAGAAAGAAAGAAACTATTAATGTAGTTTCTTATGTGGTTTCTCTTGATTTTCATGTCGTTTTGAACCTATGGTGTTTTTGTTTTTGTTTTGCTATCTTCTCATCTAATAAATAAGTTGGCTTTTGCATGTTTTTAGACTCTTTCTTACTCTTCCTCTGTAGAAGTTGAATACAGAAACCTTTTAGCTTTGGCTTCTCTTGAAATGGTTTGGTAAAAATAGTTACACTTTAGTTCTACTAGATGCATAGTCCCCGCGCAAGCGCGGGGGTTGGATACGTTGTTGGTGTGTTGTGTAGTTTTGTGTATGAGACTTTGCTGTTTTTTTTAACATTTGTTTATCTGACTTATCTATAATGGTGATGAAAGAAACATTATAAGTCACACAACTTGATTAATCTGATAAAAGAATAAACATCGAATTCATATGGGTTGATATTTTCATATTTTATCTTCGTAGTGATTTTATCGAGCATTCCATTTATTAGTGATTTTATCGAGCATTACTGTTATTAATGCTTTCATGTAAAAAAATAATTTAATGGAGACAAGACAAAAAAATACATGTGTTTATTAGTGTAATTTTCTTTCTAAAATTATGTTGTATATATATATATATATATATACATATTTTAATTGTGATGTATATGAGATTATGGCCGATCTGAATGGTTCGGGATAAATATTTATTATTGAAAAAATATGTTTTTATTTTATTTGATGATTATAACTGAATTGAAATGATATTTGAGGTTAGAACATGATAACGTTTCTTATAAAAGTATCTAAGATGGTATCATAAAATTTCAAATCTTTAAGCCATTTTATATTCCAACAACCAGCATAAAAATAATTCTGAATCTCCCTAAACTTTTAGATATCCCGAGAAGTCCAAATTAAAAAAAAAAATTAAATGCAAGCACTGCGTTTCGAACCCGTGCACTCGCGATACCAACTTCTTGTCACCAACTTACACCACTGGGCCATTTCATCACTCATCAATAACATTCAATCTTACAAAATGTAATACGTTTTTGTTTTCCCTAATAAGACACGCGGGGCCCGCAAACTTGTTGATGTGGACACTTTGAGGAGCTTCAAAAGTGTACTATTATTATATAGATTTTACGGATAGTACAACAGCAATTTACATCGCAACCAATCATGTAGTCCATGAGATTGCCACTTTGATCGTGAACAGCTAGAAAAAGGATTCTCAAAACACTACATGTTTGAACTAAAGATCAAGTGGCGGTGTAGGACATACTAAACATTTGTTCCTCATCAGTTTGAACACTTAAAATCCAAGATGAACCGACACGTTTTAGGAAGCTCATCTTGAGGGGGAGAGACTAGTGGAGTGTGGTTGGTTAAACTATGGCTAGTGGAGTGTAGATATAATTTGTTTTTAAGTATTAAACTAGATTATAACCCGCGTGCGGATACATTTTTGATTTTATAATTGTTTTTATTTAGTTATTAGAAAAATTGATAAAAATATATTATTACAATTTGGTGTTTTATATTATGTAATTTAATATGTCTTGTTCGATATTATTAATATATAACTATTTATATTCATATTTTTGTGAAACTAAAATAACATATATTAATATATAATTTCTTTTAATTTATATTTTATATAAATTAATAGAAATATATATATATATATATATATATATAAATAAAATAAAATAATTATCTATTAAACCTGTTTCGTTAAATTTTTGATATTTGCTAAGGAAACTGAATTAGATTTTTTTATTTCTCATGGATTAAAAACTATTTTAATGAAATTAAGAAGCTAATTAATTTATTTAATTTACATACATAAAACATCAAGTGCAAACTAAAAAAATCATATAATTAAATAATAGTATAATTTCGTACATTTTAAACTTAAATTTTATTTTTCTAATGTTTATATTCTAATTTTGTAAATTGAAATAATTTTATTAAATATTTATTATTTTTTATTTAGAACTTAAATAATATTATTTCTAATATTTTAATAAAAATTAAGAATTTAATTAATTTTATAAAATTAAGTATCAAAAGATTTTGTTAAAGCAAAATAGAAATTATTTTAAAATAAATAGTGTTATAATAGAATATTCTTGTGTGATAGTATATTTCACTCAAATTATCTAATATATATATATATATATATATATATATATGTGTGTGTGTGTGTATGTTATTTTTAATATAATAACAATTACTAATAAAATGGTCTAATGACTTTTTATCAGTAGATAAAAATAGGACTCTGTTTTGATTTTTCTAATGTTTACATTCTAACTTTGTAAACTAAAATAATTTTATAAAAAAATATTTATTATTCTTGATTTATAACTTAAATAATATTATTTCAAATATTGTAATAATAATTACGAATTTAATTATTTTTAAAAAGTTAAGTATCAAAAGATTTTATAAAATTTTGTTAAAGAAAAATAGAAAATATTTAAAAATAAATAGTGTTATAATGAAATACTCGTATGTGTGATGGTATATTTCATTCAAATTATCTAATCTATATATATGTTATTTTTAATATAATAAAAATTACTAATGAAATGGTCTAATTACTGACTTTTTATCAGTAGATAAAATAGAACTATGTTTTAAAAGATTAGATTTAACCAATCCATGAAAAGCTCTTATAAACGTTGCATTATATCATATAGAACTATATGTACCAATCCATATAGTTCGACATGAAAAGCTCTTATAAATGTGAATATACCAATCCATGAAAAGCTCTCACACGTAACTAATCCCATATACATATAGTTATATCCAACCGCATAATTATATTAAGAGATAACCAAATATATTTTAAAGATGTTATTGGTTAAGTTAAATTGATATACATCGGTTAAGATTTGGTTTAATTTAAGTTGGTAGGTTGTATTTTATAGGAGGTGTGATATAGTTAACAACTATGAAAGAATCCAAAATCTAAATGACAACTTCAAGTAGATAAAAATCAATCCCTAAATTAATAGATTAGATTGTTTCGTATATTATATTTATGAATAGAAATATGTTTACTAATCAAAAGCAATATTATGTATTTTTGTAATAGTTTTATTTACCATATGATGAGGGGGATACGATTTGCGCAATCTACTCGTCAATCATATGGTGTTGATTAAGAAAAAAAAGTGTGTATAACAGAAGATTAGGAGAGGAAAGAAAGTAATAGTAGGACTAGACTCAAGTTAAATATAGAGAGTCAGGATACCGATGGTGATGATAGATTGGCTAAAACGAAAGAAACAAAACAATGTAAACAGACGGTTAAATCAAATCAAACTCTCTGTATTTAAATCCAAAGATAGAGAGAGCTAAGAATGCAAATCCCAGAAATTAAAGACATTATTGCAGTCGACGAAACAGAGTAAAAACTAGAGGGAATGAATGTACAATCATCATTATCATGATTAAGATCAAACTGTCAAAAGCAAAGCTGATTAGGAGGCAGATCCAAAAGTGTTCTCTCCACTGTATGTCATGTAGAGAAACCCATCTTCGTCTTTGTGTTCTTCATAGATTGCAGACATCAATGCAGCTACTCAAAAGAAACAAGAAAACAAATCAAGACACGAATCATAGAAGTTGAAAATTTCAAAAGGTTCTTTAAAAAAGTTTAATTACCAGTTGGGGGTAACGTGTTCTTGACAAAGACAAAGATTGCTTTCTCGGCTCCAAGCTTGATCCTTTTCCTCACAACGTATACGAATTGCCCAACGGTTAGATCAGCTGGTACAAGATACCTAACAGAAGAAAACAAGATCAGATAAAAGCATAATACTTTAGATGTAACTAGCTTTTAGCATTCAAAAGTTTTGAAAACCAAACAATTATAATGTTATGGAATTCATATACCATTGAACAAGCTTGAGAATCATATGGCTTAAACCAACTAAAGCAAGAGTTATTCAAGCTTAGAATCATTAAGCATGTATGTATGTATAAAAAAAGACTCACTTTTTCTTGTCAATGTCAGGAACATCGCTCTGTTCAGCTTTCTCTACAATCACCTGTAATTCAGTTTTTGATTAGAAAACAAAAAATTCTCGTAAAACAGAGAAAAGTTGAAGGAAACATACGGGAACTCTGTCATGGTATTTCTCTCTGATGCGAGTAGATTCAGCGATTCTTATCTCTGTTATTCCAAAAAAACAAAACATAAAGATTCATTCAATAACAGTTGGACAAATCACGTAAACATCCTTAAGGTTCTCATCAATAACATAATCTGATTCGATATCAAACACAAGCGTAGAAATTAGCATCAAAGATAAAAATCAGAACCAACACAGTCTTGAATGAGACTAATCTAAACAGAGTTCCATCAGCAACGATCAGAAACCATAACAAACTAAAGAAGAAAACAACGGAACTAACCAAGAGGATTAGAGAGCTTGAAGGAGTTCTTAGCCATGGTGATTCGATCAGTAGTACCTGCGATCATTGAAAAAGAAAAAATCTTTAGCTTTCTTTGCAAAATCTGGATAAAACCCAGAACCCAGAATCTGTAATTGATCGAAGAGAGGCGAGATCAGACATACCTTAAAGAGGAAGAAAGCGATGATCGTGGGGAACTAGGGTTTGATTGGAAGAAAAAAAATACTAAAGAGGATCAAAGTATTAAAAAGAAGGGAAAGAGAATAATATTTATAAAGGATGATGGATTTAGGGTTTTAAACTTTTTTAATGACGGTTTCCTACACGGCACAGAAACTTGTCAATTGGGTGTTTACTTTTATTTTATTTTTATTTTGGTTTTAAGATTTTAATTGCCTGCCTTTCAAGGATATTACGACGCTTGTCTTACGTCAACAAAGGTGATACGACGTCAGTTTGTTGTTTAATCGGTATTGTGGGCTTTTGATGGGCCTTTAATTATGTTTGAATCCTTGTTCAGAGTTGGAGTTTTTTTTTTTTTTTAACACTTCTTAATTGTATTACAAATTATGAGAAACTAGGATAAGATCCGCGCCTTGCGCGGAATGAAACTATTATTTTTATTATGTTTTAAAAAATGAAACAATAGTTCGGTTTCATTCGGATTAGAGGTGTTCAATCCAGATATCGGGTTTCGGTTCGGCTCGATTTTTTGGTATTTTGATTATTAAAATATAACTACTATTCTAAATCTATATATACTTCAATTTGATTTGGTTTATATACGGTTTTCAGTTTATTCAATTATATACCAAAAACATGATTATTTAGTTTGAGATCATATTATATATTATACAAATATATAATATGATCATATTTAGAGTCATATTGTCACAGAGTCATTTATTAAAAAAAATTATATATTTAAATAAAAGAATAAAAAACAAAAAAGGCTTCTATCATCTAATAAAAATCTAGAATTAATACCAAAACACTAAATTTTGAAAATAAAAATAAAAAACAAAACAGAAGCATGAAAGAAAAGTTTTTATATTCTTCCATATTTAGTGTTCATCAAACCAATATGTCTTCGATTGAACACAACTCTGTTTGTTTAAAGATAAAAAAAAGTTGTAAAGAATTTCAACTAATTGTTGTCTATCAAATTTATAATCTTTACTTCAATTTAGTTACTGTTAAAAAAGAAAAAGATCAAAATAAGAAGTCTAAGTTGTAATAAATTGTTAGCTATTTACAAATTATAATTATAGTTCAACTATGTAACAAATAGATATTCATGCGTCGTTATAAATATATACATATTTACATGTTTCAGTTTAATCGGTTATAAATCAATCCATATCCAAATCCTATGACTTTTATAAAATCACATCTATTCGGTTTGTATGGTATATACCAAAAATAACCATATTATCGATTGTTAATATCTTTTAAAAATATAAAATTAAAAAAGAACTAAGATATTTAAATCATTGATAACAAAAATTTTCAATGTGAAAAATTTAATAATTTATAAATGTTTTTGAAAATTTATTGAGGATTTTGAAATTAAAATATTTATGTAATCTTATATGGTATATAGTTTAATCTGTATATATAATTGTTTTATTATTGAATGATACTTTTTACTTATATGGTTTTAAAATCATGTATATCTTTTTATAATAAAAATGTTAAACTATTGATCATTAATTTTTAACATAATAATTTTAATAGTTTAGTTATTTATTCTTGTTTTTTAAAATTCAAATTATAACTTATACGAGAAAATCTAAAGTTTAATTTTATAGCTAATTTGATTATTTAATTTATTTTAATAATATAAAATTAAAGAAAAATGATGGATGATATATAAACTGTTATCAAATATTTATTATTAGAATCATTAAGTGTCATATATATATATATTAGTCATTTATGGTAATTCCGTAGGTTTTATCTATGGAAAGAAAATAAAATCTACTCTATTAAAATAGAGTCATTATTTTTATCTACTGATACAAGTTGTCATTTAAATTTGGACCCTTTCTAGAATGTTACAAATAATATAAGTCATATAACTGATTGAACCGTATTATTTAAATTAAACCAACACAATTAATGTAAAGAAACGACCTTAATGTAAATTACCTTCAAAATATGGCAGGTATCTATGTGTATACCGAAAACATATATTTTCTCCTACAAATATGGAATGTTCTACAAAAATATATATCATCAAAATATTGAATATGAAAATCAACTAATCTACTCTATTAAAATAGAGTCATTATTTTTATCTACTGATACAAGTTGTCATTTAAATTTGAACTATTTCTAGAATGTTACAAATAATATAAGTCATATAATTGATTGAACCGTATTACTTAAATTAAACCAACACAATTAATGTAAAGAGACGACCTTAATGTAAACTACCGTCAAAATACGGCAGGTATCTATGTGTATACCAAAACACACATATTTTCTCCTACAAATATGGAATGTTCTAAAAGAAATATGGGGGATTTGCCAAAACCAACCTAAAATTTCATTTCAACCCTAAAGGTGTACCCCTTATTGAGTCAAATGCAAAACCAACCTAAAGGGGTTATGAAGTTATTACTTAACCCTTGTGACCAAACAAAAAAACAGACAGTTATTTTACGGTTCTGTCCTTTGCAAGTCTACACATAATAGAGAGAAGTCTACACATTTGTAGACTTTCTTAGAAGTCTACTTTGTAGACGTATTCTACAGTCTACATCGTCATTTGATCTTATAATTTAATTTTAAAAATGTATAAAAATAATTTTTGGGAAGTTTTTAAATAATCATCAATATAAAGATTAGTATGAAATATATAAATTAAAATTTCATATAAGTGAAAAGTTTAATAGAATTTATATTGAATTGGTAACCATNTTTACCAAAATAAATTATTTTAAAATTAAAATTAACTAAGCGGGAAGTAAAAATTAATTTTGGAGCCCATTTTTTCCATATTGGCGCCAATATATAGGGTATAGTAGACTTACAGTAAAGTCTACTTATATGTAGACGTCTATTTCAGTCTACATTAATTGGTGTTTATCAAAAAAAAATATTTTAAAATTAAAATTAATTAAGCGGGAAACAAAAATGAATTTTGGAGCCTATTTTTTCTTATTGGCGCCAATAGTTACACTAAAGTCTTCTTCAATAGTAGACGTCTTTTTTAGTCTACTATAATTGGTGGTTACAAAAAAAAATTTATTTTAAAATTAAATTTATTTATTTATGAATTAAAATGTGAATTAAAATTTTATCAAAAGATATATATATACTAAGTCTACTAAATATATAATGAAAGGAAAAAATTTAGATTATATATTATAAACTATTTAAACAATAAAGAAAAATATTATAGTAGACTTCTTTGAAAGTCTACCTAACCTAAAGTTTTAACCAAAATAATTTTAACCAAACCAAAATTAAACCAAAGAGTTTTAACCTAACCAGAAAAATAACTTGACATATAAATACTCCTTCTTATTAAAAAAGGACCGACATAAAAAACAAGCTCTCTCTCTCTCATCCTTCTTCTCCTACGATGTTCCCCGGCGAAAGCTTCAGATCTCAGGTAATTTTTCAATTCTCGAGCTCTCTCTCTTCTCTGCAGACCCGAGTCACCTAACAATCTGTTTCTGTGTCTAGGGTTTTGATCGAGCCAGAGAGGAAGATCCGGTGGAGGATCGGGAGGAAGAGGAAGAAGGAGGAAACGGCCATGGAAGAGGCAGAGAGGAAGATCCGGAGGAAGAGGGAGAAGGAGG